CGTGAGGAAAAGGCTCGCCCGAACAGGGGCTCGAACCCTGGACCCTCAGATTAAAAGTCTGATGCTCTACCAACTGAGCTATCCGGGCACCAGCGGCGACTCCTACTTAGCTAATAACTAGGGGAACCGCGACCACAGTCGTATCGCATCTTATTATCGGAATCTAGCGCAAAACCACGTCTATATAATGATTCATAGGCACATTAACTAATTTGGGAACTTATCTCAAAGTTGACCGAATGTACACCGGGTATGCCATCGAATGTAATCGCAAAATGACCTACCACACAGAAAGAAAAGCTACATTTCCGAGCTGGCAAAGTTCTTTCTGATTCCAGACTGCTGGGTCAGAAATCTAGCAGGATAAGGAATGATAGATCAACGACAAGCAAGACTGTTGCATAAAGGACTGCCGTTGTTTTAGCTGTAAGGATTGAGTAAATTTTATCTGACCGTATGCGGCAATAAAGTGCTTCAGTAGCTAAACAGAAACCAGTAATAAGCCTGCAGATGATTATCAAGGTAACATAAAGCAATTGTGGATGTTATAGTGTTAACAACACAGCGATGTCGGTAGAGAATTATATTCGCCGACCTTTCGGTTACTGTGTGTAACCTTTTTCAAGGCAGGTTTTACAATCAAATGATTCAGAGGAAAGGATCACAAGTTAACGGATATTTCATCGTGCATGTTTGTCTGTGTGTGGTGGACTGAATGGTTCGTTGTCCGTCATACTAACTCCCATTATCAGATGGGGTCAAGTGGCACCGTGACCTTTGCCGTGATTGCGCGTTAGGGATGTTAGGGTAGTCCAAATGCTCGGCATATCGATTCCGTCATTTCTGTTGACACATGCAGAGTGGTCGTCAATGGCCAAAGCTTCGGCATACGAGCGTTCAGTGCATGTTCGAAATCCGATTTGGAGTGTTTTTGGGTTGTCGTAGTCCATAGTGTGACCTTCGGCTATGGCGTGAAGAGCAATCAGTGAGTCTCCTTCTAGTTTTACCAGAGTTGCTTGGTCCATCGGTCGGTGCTTTTCTTTTCTCTCGTGTTCGGTTATTCTTGTCTTGAGTTGTCTGCTGGTTTGCTCAATGTATTCTGCGGGGCATTCTTTACGACTGATTTTGTAAATGCAGTTGTTTTGATCTTGCAATTCGACCGGATCTTTGGCTTTCACGAGATGGCGTTTCAGAGTGTTGTCAACCCGAAAGAATGTTTGTATGTTGAAATCGCCGAGAATCTTTCTGATTGCTTCTGAAACGCCTGATCTATATGGAATGCCAATCGAGGCTACACGGTCTCTTGTCATTGGGTTGTATCATTGTTGGCCTCTGAGTCATTTGATTGTAAAACCTGCCTTGAGAAAGGTTACACACAGTAACCGAAAGGTCAGCGAATATAATTCTCTACCGACATCGCTGTGTTGTTAACACTATAACATTCACAATAAAACAACACATGGCGCATCGATTTTTCGATACACTCCTAACATCATTTGATCACGATGTGTTAAATAACA